TGGCAAGATAAATCTCCCCAGACTTATCCAATGGCTATGAACATTTAAAACTAACACGAGTCTCTATAAGTGTTCAGTTTTAGGGTCTTACACAGAATTAAACCAAACAACATGAATCAAACATGCACTTTATTTATTTACACTAAATATCAAAAGTACATCAAATCGGATTGAAGCTAAGGGCATACAAAACTGTCTAACACTTCTGCCCCTTACTCAGAGTGTCCATTTGCTCCACTGAGAAATAGAATGGCCCCGATCGGTCGAGCACAATCTTTCTGTTGCCATCCTTGTACTCAACATCAGCAATGGGGCTTGATATGTTGCAGCCAAGGATCAAAATTTCGTTACGGCCGATACGTATCGTATCGGAGCCTTCCCAATACGCCCCTACAAGGGGTGTTTCGGGTCGGCGAGTGGTTCAGGGGGTAGACCGACTTTAAACTGGCCCCTCTGAACCAGTTAAAAAGAACATAAAAAACAGTACCGATACAGGCCGATACGCCCTACCGGTGTATCGTCCTGTATCGATATTTTGAACCTTGGTTGCAGCTGGTGTAAAGCCTCCATCACTCGCAATACAGAATCCTTGTTGGCGTCATACTTCCAAACCAGTGTGTTTCCAATTTGGAAACGAGCTGCTTCGGCCCATTGGTTCAGAGAGTCGGACTCAGAGGATGGGATCTTCCATGCATGGTTTTTCCACCAACCATGATTTCTCTAGCTTCTGAGAAGCTGAAGAGGAGAAACACCAGCACAACAGATGAAGTAAGAGCTCTAGAGAAAGCCATTATCGGTTAGGTTATCTCTATCTGGGCAACACAACAGCTAATAGCTTCTAACTGCTTAGTCGTCTCAGAGATTGGATGGGTGAGAGTGAATTCAGTGTGCTTATTAAGAGACATATTACTCATCTGAAATCTGAATCATGCGATCCCTGGAAAATTGCGAGAGCAATTGGATTTGGTGCCTTGATCACTGGAGTCTTGTGCAATTTGAATCAACAACATGGATTGACTCCCATGCTTGGGAGTTGACTTGACTTGAATCAGCAAGTTGATTTCCAATGCCTGCTTGTACCTCATATATAGTACACATGGAATATGGGATGCAAAATCTCTTGGTACTATCATTATTAAGAATTTTAGGTCATGTTTATATATATTAATATATTTGTATATGTGTGTAAAAAAAATATGCAGACACATATTTGGGTCCTTGTCTCTCTTTCGGTATAAAGGAATAATTATGTGTTCTCTCTGCAGAGTAAGCAATTGGGCTGTGTTTGCCCAGGTTCGATGTGTTATCCTGAAAAGTGTGACCATGTATATCTCTTCGATAATGATTATGAAAATGCAAAGGACATCTTTGGCAAGCCAATGTATGGAAGGTTTCCATATGATGAACATGGCCAGATCATCTTGGAGGTAATTTGATTCTCTTTCACCATTAACCTCCTTTATAAGCAAGATGCCATCATTTAGTAAATAGTAGTTTGCCTCTTTTACTCCTATATATATATATTTGTAATTTATATAGATGAAAATATGGCCTTTTGCTCCTCTGTACTTGTGGAAGGAATGGCTGCATCAGTAAGGTGCTTTGGCACTAGAGATCTTCTATGTCAAAAATTTCATCTGATAAGATGATCATAATCACTGTTATCTGGAAACTCCTTTGCTCTGCCCGTCAAGCTCCTAACTTCTAACCTTTGACAGAGAAAGTTTGATTGGCCAGTAATCCCTTTGGATCAACTTTGGCCTATGAGATCTCAGTTGAGATGCAACCAAAAAAAATCAGTCAAGGATCATAAAAGATTGGCTTCTAGCTTCCCTGCACGCTTGACATGATCACAAGCAGGGTGCACTATTTCTCAAGTCCTGCTCTGTTGCAACAGTCTTGTCTATATTGAGTGGACTCAGTTCATTTTATAGTAAAGCCAGGGCATTAAGCTTGGGATTTTTCTTGCTATACTTTGTAGGAGGGCTATCTGGTCTATGAGTGCAATTCAATGTGCAGCTGTGACAAAACTTGCGGGAATAGGGTTTTGCAGAATGGCGTGCGAGTCAAACTAGAAGTCTTCAAAACAGAGAATAAGGTAATGTTTTCAACTCTTTCATGGTTGTCATGAAATCTATATTTATTTACTGTTTGGTAATTTGCAGGGTTGGGCAGTCAGAGCTGGTGAAGCAATCTCACGCGGGACATTTGTGTGTGAATACATTGGGGAGGTTTTAACCGATCAGGAGGCAAAGAGGAGGAGCGAGAGGTCTTGAATTCTTTACCATCGACCTTTTTTGGTTTCCATTAGTAGGTTCTAATGTATCTGCATTTGTATATGCTATTTCAAAATTTCAGGTATGGTTATGAAGGCTGTAGCTATTTGTATAGCATCGACCCCCATATCAATGATATCAATGGATTGACTGAAGGAGCTGTTCCATGTGTTATTGATGCTACAACACTTGGGAATGTTTCACGGTTTATCAACCACAGGCAAGGATTATATCTATTAATTCTCTTAATGGATTGATTGAGGAAGCCAAAGATCTACCTATAGTTCATAACATGGTCATTTTTGAATTAATTTGGAAGATTCAAGTGGTGGGTCACCTACCATTTAGAAGTCAAACTACTGGAGAAATTAACACAATTTACATTTGACATCTTGGCTTATCTTCAAATAATGTACCCATAGTTTTCAAGGTGCCAAGGCGAGGCTAGGTGACAAAGGGGCACTGTGTCGCCTAGTCATGYAGGCGGTGAATTTTTATATGTAAAAAATCTCTCCTAGGGTAGTTCCCTAGGTTCCATAACAATATTTCCTTAATAATTATCCATAATTTTCAAAAGAAAAGTATAAACTTCATGTTAAAGTATAGAAAATTAACATGTTCATGAGAAGAAAAAGAAGAAAGTAAAGAAAAATAAAAAAATATAAGGGCTGAACCCCTATTTTTGTTATAGGAAAAGAATAAAATAAAACATTGAAGAAGAAAATATGTTGATTAGACAAAATTTTAAGTTCTTCCTTACTTATTGGTTCAGGTTTTGAAGTCTTTGAGGATTCAATACAGCAGTTATTGATCCAAAAAAAAAAACAGCAGTTAGCAACACCTGTATTGAACTGTTGATTAATCCCTAACAAATAAGAAAATAATAAAAAGAAATTAGTATATAAAGACACAAAATGAATATTTTAGTTTAAGAATGTCTATTTTATAATTATTCAAAAAATTAATATAAAAGTATTTTATAACACAACATACAAAACTGCTTGGCGATTAGGCAAGGTGAACCACCAACGCCTTGTCACCTAGGAATTGCCTTGACAACTATGAGCATACCACTTGTGTCCATTTTCACAGTTCTGTACCTGAATGATTAAATAAAGTACCTGAACTTTAATTTCATATTTGGAGTGCTCGTGTGGCTTCCAAATTGAAACTTCAAACTCATGGCATATTGAGGCCAAATGACCAACTATGCACTAAAGCATTGACGAGTGATGCTTTTATTTGTCAAGGTAGTCTCTCCGGGGATTTTTAATCCCCTTCATCATTATTATGCTGTATATGCTCTGCCTAGGATGGTGAATATTAATGTATTGGTGATATATGCTTATTGGTTATGTAGTTGCTCGCCCAACCTTGTCAGTTACCTGGTTCTGGTGGAGAGCATGGATTGCCAGCTTGCACACATTGGTCTCTATGCCAGTAGAAATGTATGAATTCTTCTCTTAACCTGATGGAATACTAATGGACTTCCTTTCACAACTAATGTTGCCTATGTGAAGATACAGGATTGGATGCAAATAGTTCATGAAAAACTTTTAACACATATGTGCATGAATAGTTTGATCTCTCACATCAACTGATGTAAACATTCTGGTGGTATTAAATATTAATGTTAGAAAGAATAAGAAAAGAYCATCAAAAGAACTAGAAAAAAGAAGGGTGGGGGTAGATAGAAATAATATGAAAATATTTGAACATAATACCTCATCTAAAACTACCATACAACTCTTTTTTGAATGACTCACAAAAGTAATGTTATTTTGTGTATGTTTGGGGGTGTAATTTTTTACCTCTTTTCAAAAAACAAAGCAATGTTATTTTATATGTTATGGGTATATAAGAGTTCTGATGGCATGAAATGGTTGAGACATAAGATTACTATTTTTGACCTAAACAATGGGTTCAAAGTAAATGATGGTTTGGTGGTTAATGCAGATTGTTTGGTTACTGATTAGATGTCTGAATGGTTCAATTGTCTGGTCATATTGGATGACTCACAAAAGTACCTGTTATTATCAGCCTAAGGTGTGTGGTATGTGTTGTTTTGGCAGGTCTAAACCATTCACTGGGTGGGGGACCCTCTGTACTGGCTACCTGTTCAATCCTCCAGTCCAATTTGACCCTATGCTTCACTTGGTTTTAGTGTTCTACTCTAATCATGCCAGAAGTTTTAATATTTTAATATAATGACAATGCCAACTGGCTCAGTTGGTAAGGTCTCTGGCTCGTCATAGCAGAGACTTAGGATCAAATCCTACTGTCACCAGGGTTTGGGGGGGAGGGTTATGGGTGGGCTACCCCTGTTGTGTAGCTCTATTAAGCAATAAAAAAAAGACTATATAAAAGGTTATTTTGTTTAGATACTGCTCAACGTCAGGGTCCACTTTGAGATTAGAACAACCTCCTGAGAAACAGATAATAATTATTATTTTTTTTATCAACAACAATGAATTTTATTCATGACTGAGAAATTCAGAATTACAAGGGAGGGAGCTAAAAATTCTTAACTCCCTACTATCTAAAGTACACCTAGACCATGAAATAATTACAAAACAGCCCAAAAGATAGCATTTCTATTCACCCCTTGCCTAGCTAGCCCATCTGCCAATGCATTTGAACTTCTTTTTATCCATGTACACTGAATTTCCATGTCCTTAGTGAGCCACTTGAACTTCCTTTTTTCATTGTTGTATTTCTAGAGCATAGAACTGTCCTCTTTTAGGCAATACACCACTATTTCAGAATCACCTTCTATTATCAATTTTTTAATATGCATTTCCTTGACCCTTTGTATCCCTTCAAGAGCTCCTAAGATCTCAGCCAATGTATCACCCTTATTTGTATAGTCTCCAGGATTACTTCCAAGCTTCTCTCCTTATCTGAGAATGTCCTTGAATTTCTCTCCTCCCAAACAGTCCAACATACTGCAGCCCTTACACATCTCCACATGATCTTGGCCCTTTTGGTTTGCCCATTGGGCATGGAAGTGAATAAGCTTTGCACATTTAGAGGGGGAGTCCACTTGCACCGAAACAAAGAAGTAAACCATTCCTAAATAACTTTAACAAACTGACAAGAAACTAGTAAGTAGTATCTAGACTCACCATCGGATTTGCAAAGAATACACCAGTGAGGGGACAAACAACTATTGGGTCTTTTTCTTTGAAGTAGATCTCTTGTATTAGTTTTTCCCAGAAAGGCTTCCCAACAAAAGCTCCCAACCTTTGGAGGTATAGGTTGACACCACACTTCTTTAATAGGGAATAACAGTCCAACAGGAGAAGAAGGTAAAAGGGCCTTAAAAAAAGAGGCACAAGTGTAAGCACCTGATGGAGTGAGTGTCCAAATTCTATTGTCTGTATTTGATGGCTCCAAGAAAACCCCTTAAAGGGAGGATAATCCTGAGATACTATCCAACTCTATATCCCTGACATCCCTTCTCAAACCTAGATTCCAGCTGAAGCCGGAAGGTGAGTTAGAAGGTACAAGGAAAGAGGAAACTGATTCATTTTTAAGGGTAGAAATAGCGAAGATGCCTGGAAATTGGTCTTTCAAGGAGGAATCCCCAACCCAAACATGTTCCCAAAAATTAATAAGATTACCTGAGTGCAAATTATACCTGATCCATGGGGAGAACAAAGGCAATATAGTTTGAATAACTTTCCATGGAGATGTTCTTGTAGTCTGTGCTGAGATCCCAGAGTCCCATCCATTGTCTGCCAACCCATGAATACTTCCCACTATCTTTACCCATATTCTTTCTTTCTCCAAAGTAAATATCCACAACCATTTCCTTAGTAATGCTAAATTCCTAAACCTTATGTTCCCAATTCCCAAGCCTCCCTCCTTCTTGCTCCTACATACTACTTCCCACCTAACCCTATGATCCTTCTTTTCCTCCCCTGGCTCCTAAAGGAAGTCTCTCATTAATTTTTCCAACTTGCTAGCCACCTTAGCCGGAATCTTAAAGACTGACAGAAAATAGACAGGAAGGTTAGCAAGAGTAGACCTAATCAAAGTGATTCTCCCTCCTAGAGAATTAATTTTTCTTCCAGCTGGCAAGTCTCTTTTTCAAACCTCTCCACCACAGGAGTCCAAAAATCACCTTTYTGAGGATTATCTCCCAATGGCAGACCAATGTAGTTTAATGGCCAATTGGCTACTACACACCCCAAAATGTCTGCACACTTACTAACCTCCCCATCCCCCATATTCACTCCAATTATACAACTTTTCTCAAAGTTCACACTAAGATTTGATATTTGCTCAAAAAGTTGTATAGCTAGTTTCAAATTTCTAATCCTATTGATATCCCCTCCTTCACAAAACAATATTGTGTCATCTGCAAATTGCAAGTGTGCAAGTGGTATGTTTTCTCTTCCAACTCTCCACCCTCTTATTAGCTCCCTAGAATCTGCTTGGGAAATTAGTCTCCTCAACACTTTTTCAACCAATGTAAACAGAAAAAGCAGATAGTGGGTCTCCTTGTCTAATCACTCTCAAAGTTGGAAAATAGTCCACCACTGTCCCATTCACCAAAATGGAATAATGACACTCCCTAATGCAACCCATCACCCATTTGCACCAAGTGTCTCCAAACCTAAAACTAATTATCACCTCCAATAGGAAGGGCCAATCAACCAAGTCATAAGCCTTTTCCAAGTCTAACTTGTAGACCACCCCTCTTTTCCCTAATCTCTTAAAGTCCTCTAGACTCTCATTTGCTACCAGTATTTGATCTGTTATCTGCCTCCCCTTCACAAAAGCTCATTGATTGTTTGATATGATTGTTGGGAGCATTTTCCTTATTCTCAAGGACAACACCTTAGTGATAATCTTGTAAAGGCTATTAACTAGACTAATCGGCCTGTAATCCTTCGGGTGGCTTGCATCACTTTTCTTGGGTACCAATGCAATGAAAGTGGAGTTAGCCTAGGATTAATCACTCCTCTAGTATGGAACTCATCAAATACCAATCTTAGGTCCTCTTTCAGTATCTCCCAACAATCCTGATAAAAAGCCATCGTAAAACCATCAGGGCCCTGTGCCTTTGATCTATCCATTGAGAAAACCGCCTCTTTTACCTCTTCCAGATCAAATTTCTTTTCCAGCCATTCCCTGTCTTCCCTCTTAAGTGTTGGCCATTCTAAACCTTCAATCCACACCCTATTATTTAGTGGCCTTCTGAAGATAGATCTAAAATGATTTGCAAATGCTCCTGCAATTTCACTTTGACTGGTGACTGTCACCCCTTCAATCTCTAACCTTGAAATAGTGTTTCTTCTCCTTCTGTCACTTGCTAAAGCATGAAAACACCTAGTATTCTTGTCCCCCTCTTTCAGCCACTTGCATCTTGACTTCTGCCTCCAACTTATTTCCTTCTGGAGAACATAATCCTCTAATTGTTTACACAACTTCCATCTTTGTTCCCTCTCCTCTACTGTTATGCCACCCCTCCCTTCTTTGTTGTCCAGATCTTCAATTTGTGTAATCACACTTTGCTTTCTTTCCTCTAGTCTTCCAAACTCTAATATATTCCATTCCTTAAGCCTACCTTTCAGCAATTAGAGTTTTTTGTGAAACCGCATCCCACTCCACTCTATTGCTGGATTTCTCTTTGACCACCACTCTTTAATTTTCTTAATGAAGCTCGGATGTTCTAGCCACATGTTTTCAAATCTAAATGGAGCGGGACCCGCATTTCTCACATCCTCCTTACAGAGTACAATAGGCCAATGGTCAGAAGTCACCCTCGGTAGTGCTCTAGAGTTCAGATTCCCCCAGTGTTCTTCCCAATCATTTGAAAATAAGAATCTGTCCAACTTAGAGCAAATTGGATTTGCTTGAAGATTGGACCAAGTGTAACATCTTTGTGACAATGGGATCTCCTTAAGATCAAAACCATCAATAAATTGATTAAATCTCTTCATACTTGTGGTAGATCTCTGCCTAGGACTGTTAGTTTCTTCCCAGAATCTGATCAAACTGAAGTCACCCCCTAAACACCATGGTCCATCCCACAAACCCCTTATGTCAGCCAGTTCTTCCCATAATTTCCACCTCTCTTGTAATCATTTGGTCCATACACATTGGTTAATACCCATTCAAATCCATCCTCCACTTGTCTAAATTTCAAGGACACTGAAAATTGGCCTATCAATTCCTCCAACTCTACAACTACCTCATTCTTCCACATTGTTACAACACCCCCTGCAGCTCTCCGTGAAGGTAACACCACCCAACTAATCCCCCTACCTCTCCACACACTCCTTGCCCATTTGATATCAAATTCTGCTCTTTTGGTTTCCTGTAGCATTACCACATCTGGATTTATTTATTTATTTATTTTGATCAATAACACTTTCATTAATTCATCAATAGAAGATTTACAAAAGGAAGACAAACATGCTTATCTTCCAAGAGCAAC